CGTGCACGGGGCATCCGTCAGACCTTCACGCTTCCGGACTCACCGCAGCAAAATGGGATTGCTGAGCGCCGCATTGGCATGGTCATGGACGTCGCTCGTACGTCTATGATGCATGCGGCTGCCCCCCATTTTCTGTGGCCGTTTGCGGTGAGGTACGCGGCGCATCAGATCAACCTCCACCCCAGGGTCTCCAGGCCGGAGACCTCCCCAGCCTTGCTGTGGACGGGGAAGGTTGGCGATGCGTCGGCGTTCCGGGTCTGGGGATCTCGGGCGTTTGTCCGCGACCTGTCTGCGGACAAACTATCCCCTCGTGCTGCTCCTTGCGTCTTCCTGGGGTTCCCCCCTGACGCGCCTGGGTGGCAGTTTTACCACCCCACCTCTCGCCGTGTTCTGTCCTCCCAGGACGTCACGTTTGACGAGTCGGTCCCCTACTACCGCCTCTTCCCCTACCGCACTCCGTCCCTCCCCCCACCCCCACTCTTCCTGGTACCAGGTCCCCCCCAGGTAGACCCCCTCCCCCCTCAGGGTCCTGCCCCTTCAGGTGTGTCCCAGGTAGACGCAGTCGAGCCTGTCGAGGTCACTGGTGACTCTGGTGCTGCTGAGGGTGCTGAGGCTGGGGGTGCTGTGCCTGGGGGTGCGGAGCCTAGGGGTGCTGGGCCTGGGGGTGCTACGTCTGGGGGTGCTGAGCCTAGGGGTGCTGAGCCTGGGGGTGCTGAGCCTCGGGGTGCTCCGTCTGGGGGTGCTGAGCCTGGGGGTGCTGCGTCTGGGGGTGCTCAGCCTAGGGGTGCTGAGCCTGGGGGTACTGAGCCTAGGGGTGCTACGTCTGGGGGTGCTGAGCCTAGGGGTGCTACGCCTGGGGGTGCTGAACCTGGAGGTGCTCCGCCTGGAGGTTCTCCGAGTGCTTCGTCTCGCCGGGAACCACTTTCTCCACAGGAGCTGCGTGAGTGGTTTGCCCGGCGCTGGAGGCGTGCTGCTGGTGCTGGAGGTCCTTCGGCTGCTGAGGGTGCTGCGGTCGCGGGTCCCGGGGGTGCTCGTCCTGGGTGCACTGGAGCTGGTGCTGCTGAGGGTGTTGGCGCTGAGACTACCGCTGGCAGTCCTGCTGGGGGTGCTCCTGGTGCTGCTGGAGGTTCTGGAGCTACTGGTGGTGCTGCTGGAGCGGGTGCTCCTGCTGAGGGTTCTGGTGCTGTCCCTGCTGCTTCTAGCGTAGCCGCGCGGCCTCGACCGTACTTCGTTCCACTCCTGCAGCAGGTTCTTGGTCTTCCACCTTCTACTGGTCCTCCTCCTCCCTTAGAGTGTCCACAGCCTGTCTCGTCCCAGCTACAGTTGCAGCCTACCTCCCCTTTGCCTGCTCCTTCTCCCTACACTGGTCCTACTGGAGGTCTGGCTGAGCGTCGTGAGCCTGCGTCTCGCCCTGCGTCGCCTGTCCGTGCTGCTCGCACTAGTGGTCGCGGTTCGCGTCAGCGTCCTCCTCCTGTCCCTGGCACGCACCGGATGTCTCTGCGTCCGTCCACTGCTCCTCTGCGTGCCCCTTTGCCTTCTCCTCCTGGGTCCTCTCTTCCTGCTCTTCCTGACCCGGAGTCTGACTCCCTTCGTGCTGCCAGTCCTACTGTCACGCGTCTCCTTGCTACTGTTGTCACTGACCCTTCTTTTGAGTCTACTGCTGCGTCTGCTCTCGTTACTGAGCTCGTCGACTTTGCTGCTCGCTGTCGCTTAGACTACGCTGCTAGTCTTGTCGCTGAGTCTGAGTCTGTCTGTCCTCCGTCCGTCGGGGGTGAGTGTGCCCTTGGCACGGACGTCCTTGAGGACAGGCAGGAGGAGTTCCAGTGTCTGGCAGCTGCCTCACCTCATCTCGTGTCCGTACTGCTTACCCCTGAGGGAGACCCGGATGCACTTGACATCCCGAATCCGCGCTCTTACGCGGAGGCGATAGAGAGTCCCTACTCCTCTCAGTGGCAGGCAGCTATGGATGCAGAGATGGCTTCCTGGAAGTCCACAGGCACCTACGTTGACGCTGTCCCCCCTCCTGGGGCGAACATCGTCAGTGGCATGTGGATCTTCAGGGTGAAGCGGCCGCCGGGTTCTCCGCCTGTCTTCAAGGCGCGTTACGTGGCTCGTGGCTTCAGTCAGCGGCAGGGAGTTGACTACTTTCAGACCTTCTCCCCCACCCCGAAGATGACCACTCTTCGGGTACTGCTGCACGTTGCTGCTCACCGTGACTACGAGCTGCACTCTCTTGACTTCAGCACAGCTTTCTTGCAGGGCAGCCTGCACGAGGAGATCTGGCTGCGTCGCCCACCTGGCTTCACTGGGTCTTTCCCTCCTGGTACCCAGTGGAGTCTCCGGCGTCCAGTCTACGGTCTCCGCCAGGCGCCACGTGAGTGGCACGACACACTGAGGACTACGCTTGCGGCTCTTGGGTTTGCTCCTTCTACTGCCGACCCGTCGCTGTTTCTACGCACCGACACCTCTCTGCCGCCGTTCTACATCCTCGTGTACGTCGACGACTTGGTCTTTGCCACAGCTGACACTGCTGGACTCGCCTACGTGAAGTCCGAGCTGCAGAAGAGACACACGTGCACAGACCTGGGTGAACTGCGCAGCTACCTTGGCTTGCAGATCACCCGGGACAGAGCACGCCGCACCATTACCCTGACTCAGTCACACATGGTGCAGCAGGTCCTTCAGCGCTTCGGCTTCACGTACTCCTCGCCTCAGGCCACTCCTCTGTCTACTCGCCACTCGCTCTCAGCTCTGCCTTCGGATGAGTCCGTAGAGTCGAGTGGCCCGTACCCAGAGCTTGTTGGCTGCCTCATGTACCTGATGACCTGCACACGACCTGACCTTGCATACCCTCTTAGCATTCTTGCACGCTATGTTGCTCCTGGGAGACACAGACCAGAGCACATGGCTGCAGCGAAGAGGGTGTTGCGCTACTTGTGCAGTACGTCGGGCATGGGGCTAGTGCTTGGAGGGCGGAGTCCAGTGGTCCTCACTGGGCACGCGGACGCTTCTTGGGCTGACGACCAGGCTACGCAGCGGTCGTCACAGGGTTACACCTTCAGCCTTGGTTCCGGCTCTGTTTCGTGGCGGGCTACTCGCTCGTCTTCTGTTCTTGGCTCGAGTTGTGAGGCTGAGATCTACGCCGGGGCCATGGCTGCACAGGAGCTTCGCTGGCTCACCTACCTGCTGACCGACCTTGGAGAGCCGCCTCGTTCTCCTCCAGTCCTGTACGTAGACAACAAGGCCATGCTGGCCTTGTGTCGAGAGCAGCGACTGGAGCACAGAACAAAGCACATTGCTCTCCGCTACTTCCTTGCTCGTGAGCTACAGCAACGTGGACAGTTGCGGCTTGCGTACGTGGCCTCTGAGGCCAACACTGCTGATGTCTTCACCAAGGCACTTCCGCCTTGTGATCATCAGCGCTTCTGCACTCAGCTGGGTCTTGTGCCCGTCTTGCCTCACTTGCTCTCCTCTTGACCTTGCTTGTACTCTCACATATATATATACCTGCTCTTGCTTGTCTAGCTTTATATATATGTGTGTACTCTTGCATGTGAACTGGCCGTGTGGCCTTGACCCTGTGCTCGGACTGTGTGGTGACTTTGTGATCCACCCTGAGCTTGCTTTACTTTGCTTTGCTTGACTGGTCTTGTGACCCCTTGTTCTCCCCCACTTTGCCTATGGGGGTGTGTCAGACAATTGTAGCTTATGCTGTTGTGTAGGCTATAGTGGGGTATCCCATAGGGGGTACAACCAATTAGGGTTTCATATTTGTACTCACTTCATTTCATAGTTCATTCATTTCTTGTTCAAATCTTCTCAATTCAGACCGCGCGTGCTTCAACTTCTCATCGTGTGGTTCTTCCCGCTGGTCATTGTCGCGTGAACAACGGACAAAAATAAATGGAAACCTTATTGTTTATACTATCATTTTTGGAGTTGTTTTCATTCTTCCTGTCGGTCAGCGAGTTTATGAGATGCCATCGTTGAGCGCGGTAGGAACCGCGGGATGACATGTAGAGCCTAACGCGGTCAAGATGAGCAAAAAACAAAAAAACAAAAAGGTTAAATATCATGTAAAACTCCTCCCATGTTAGTAATTTCCGCAAACATTTGGTTAGTTGATATGGGAGCTCGGATTGGCTGAGAAACAGATTCGTGCACCAAACAGGTGTTAACACCATCGCGCGGCAAACATTCCCGCCAAAAAGGGGACTATAAAGGAGGGGATACACCTATGACATATAGGACAAATCTTCTAGATGGAAACATAGGCTTAATTAGCGTGGCCTCTAAACAGGAACATCTGTACTGTCTCAATCGTAACGATTTTCCGGGGTCGAAAGTGAAGAACCTCCTTCGAGCAATCTTTTGTCGGTAAATGAGACATCAAGCTGGCAGCAATCTGTGCCTTGCACCACAACAAGCCAAGTTGGCCAGTTGTTCCGCCTGGTGCCGCTTGGGCCACCACAATCCATCCAGGGCAGCTGACTGACTGCTCCAACCAATCATCAGTGGCAGGTTGACCCCAGCGGTCACAGGATCGGCTCGGCGCGCAATCGAGCAGGCCACGAACCGTTAAAGCTGAAGTATACATTTGTCAGCAGGGTTCAGGGTTTAGGGAGTGAACCTCACAGGTTTGGGGCAACTTTTCAAATTTCAAAAGTTTTTGAACTCTTCCTTTCAAATGTATACCGCAGCTTTAAGGGGCTGCGTTTATAATGTTTTTGCTGTACGCTGTGTACCTTTGCAGTATATTGCGATTATTATTGTGGGGATGTCCAAATGTAGTGGGCACCTAGGTACAAAAATGAGAAACTAGTCGTACATCTGGTGCTTCTTCATCCCTAAATGGCCTGCTTTTGTTGCTCCAGAATGAGTTATTAAACTGGTTAACATCTGTTGAATGACCTAGCCAACACATGTTGACTCATCCACCCCTTCACTTAATTATTTACATGCCGACAGTCTGGCACAAGTATATCCATTTAACAATCCATTTACAGCCACATTGAAGCAGCCAGAACAGGAACCCCTTCCCACAGCAACCTCACGCCATTCCCTTGTTGCAACACCTCATACCCCCCATACTTTCTCCCTCCCTTCCTCAACACCCCCGTAAGCTCCTCCATCACCTCCACCCCTACCTCCAAACCTACGAACCCGGCTCGGCGCATCCGAGCCTGCCACTGCTCCAAACTCTCCGCCCGAACCGTCCTCTGAATGCCCTCACAGGCCACAACATTCACAATGTCGCGGGCGAAATAGAGGCGCTCACACGTGTGGCGGTGCGGGCTGTCCCGTGGAAGGGCGGCGTCAAGAGAGGCGAAGATGGAGGAGAAGACTCGGAGGGCGGCTCGGAAGCGCGGGAGGAAGAAGGGCGAGTTGAGTGGCGCGTCCATCTCGACCACCACAGTGGTGAGCGGCGAGAGAGACCGGATCCACTGGAAAAGAAAGGGGGGAGGGGGGGGGGGGGGGGGGCAAGGTGGTGGGTATTCAAGGGCGGATTGAGGCACGCTGCAAGCAAGGAAAGGTCATGATGACGGTGGTGCGTAAATCTGTTTTTTTATATAATTCAGCTCACGATGACGGTGGTGGGTGAATCTGTTTTTTGAGAAAGCTCATGATGACGGTGGTGCATGGGGAGTCCACCCAGCCCCCACATACCTGTGTCAACCAGACCTGGCATGCCTGCTCCACCCAGCACTAACCCGCAGCAGCGTATCACACGGGTTGGAGCGAAGCACCAAGTCATCCACCAGGAAGAGCGGACTCATGTTGCACTGCACCACCGCTGCCCCCATGCCCCTCACCTCCCCATGTGTGATTGTCTGCTTCACCTACCTCCCTCCTATCTGTTCCACCCAGGCCCCAGCTTGCTTGCTCCGTCTAGCACTCGCCCGAAGCAGTGTGTCTCGCGGGTTGGCCCGAAGCACCGAGTCATCAGCCAGGAAGAGCAGACTCATGTTGCACTGCACCACCGTCGCCTCCCTGCCACTCACCCTAGCCCGTGAGTGCGCTTCTCTGCTTCACCCAGGCCCCACTCAGCCAGCACTCACCCTGAGCAGCGTGTCGCGTGGGTTGGCACGAAGCACCGAGTCGTCAGCCAGGAAGAGCAGACTCATGTTGCACTGCACCACCGTCGCCTCCCTGCCACTCACCTTAGCCCGTGCGTGCGCTTCCCTGCTTCACCCAGGCCCCACTCAGCCAGCACTCACCCTGAGCAGCGTGTCGCGTGGGTTGGCACGAAGCACCGAGTCGTCAGCCAGGAAGAGCAGACTCATGTTGCACTGCACCACCGTCGCCTCCCCCTCCTCCACCTCCACCTCCTCCTCCAACCCCCCCACCACCGACCGCATCCCCATCGCCCCCCCAAACCCTCCCCCAACCCCTCCCCCACTCCCCCCGAACCCTCCCCCGCTCACCCCGCCCCCCATCCCCCCTCCGCCGGCCCCCGCCTTCCCTCCCAGCGGCGCGGCAGCAGCAGCAGGGCCGACAGGGAGAACAACGGCCTTGAAGCGGAAGGGGATGGCGAGAGCAGCAGCAGCGCGGGAGAGCAGGCGGCCCGAGAAGGCAGCAGAGGACTTGGAGTCTGTCAGTTCGTTCCTGCATGTGATGTCGATGCCTGTTACTCTCAGAGAGGGCGGGCCGCCAGGGAAAGCAGCTAGGGCCTGCGCGGGGTGACAAGGGTTCAGAGTGGGACGACAATGACAGAGGTGAAGGGGGAAGGCAGCAGAGGACTTGGAGTCTGTCAATTCTTTCCTGCATGTGATGTCGATGCCTGTTACTCGCAGGGAGGGAGGGCCGCCTGGGAAAGCAGCTAGGGCCTGGGAGGGAGGAGAGACAAGGCAGGGGTGAAGGGAAGGCAAGGGAAGGCAGCAGAGGACTTGGACTCCGTGAGCTCGTTCCTGCATGCGATGTCGTGACTTTTGAGTCGACTCAAAATATGCCTGTTACTCGCAGGGAAGGAGGCCGCCTGGGAAGGCTGCTAGGGCCTGGGTGGGAGGGAGACAAGGGCAGGGGTGAAGGGAAGACAAGGGAAGGCAACAGAGGACTTAAAGTATGTCAGTTCGTTCCGGCATGTGATGTCGATGCCTGTTACTCACAGGGAGGGCGGGCCCCCTGGGAAGGCTGCTAGGGCCTGGTGGGGCACAAGAGGGAGGTTGAAGGGGAAAGGGTGGGGGCAGATGAAAGCTGAATGGTTGAAGGTTGGAACAGCCGTAAGCCGAGTGCAAGCCTGGTGAGCTCCACAAGCCTGGTGAGCTCCACAAGCCTGGTGAGCTCCACAAGCCTGGTGGGGCTGATGTTGGAATGGTGAGGTGAAGGGGGACGGCATAGGAAGATTCAGAGTTTTGATAGTAGGACGGTGTGAAACATTAGGAGAGCGTCAGCATACCATGCATAAGGGTTGTGAGGCAGCACACCATCACTAGGCATCAGCGGTAAAACCCTCACCTGCAGCAGCTCCAGCCAGTACCGGCCCATCCAGAACCCAAACACGATCATATGAATCCGACGGCTGCCGTTCACCGCCGCCAGCACAGGCCTCATGGCCGCCACATGGCAGAAGTCCAGATAGGGCAGCGAGGCGAAGCAGCGATCCATGGAGGCTGCGATCTCCTGGGAGGACGCGTTGAGCCCGCGATTGTACTGCTCTGCCCCGCACCCTGCCTGCCGGGCTGCGAGCGCCTGGGTGAAGTGCGCTGCTACTCTTTGTGCTGCACTGCCCCGCTCGTTCACCAGTGGGCGCAGGTGCGGCAGCAGGCGACGCGAAAGGGTCTGATTGGGGGGAAGGGAGTGACGGGGGAGGGGAGTGTAACATGACGTGGGCAAGTGAGATACTCGTGGGAACATGGCGAAGCAACGCTCCATGGAGGCTGCGATCTCCTGGGAGGACGCGTTGAGCCCGCGATTGTACTGCTCTGCCCCGCACCCTGCTTGCCGGGCTGCCAGGGCCTGCGTGAAGTGCGCTGCTACTCGCTGCGCTGCACTGCCCCGCTCGTTGACTAGTGGGCGGAGGTGCGGCAGCAGGCGACGCGAAAGGGTCTGATTGGGAGAAGGGAGTGAGAGAGGGGGGGAAGGGGAGAGAGAAGGGAAGGGAGTGAAAGGGGGTGAGGAGGGAGCATGAGCGTGTGGTGAGGTGCAAGATCCTTCAGCTTTTGCCGCACCTAGCTTTTCAGAATCCTAAAAACCACCTGCTACCATTTCGCTTCAAGATTTCTCAAAGGCTACAGTTTCCACTGGTTTGGGGACGTACCTCATCACGTAGCAGGTGATGAGGTTCAAAACCTAAACAACTACCTGCTACAATTTCGCTTCTGGGAGTTCAAAATCAACGGCTTTATTGGAAGGCTATACGTACCTCATCGCATGCTGCTGAGGCCTCTGCCAACTCCTCCAGTCTCTGCAGCACCACTGCCATCGACACCTCCTCCTCCTCCCCTCCTCCCCTTCCACTCCCCCCCCTCTCCTCCTCCTCTCCCTCCTCCATCTCTTCCTCCTTGTCCCTCCCGTCCTCCCTCCTCCACTCCCCATCGCCACCAGAAGCATCAGCAGAGCAACCAACACGCATACTAGCAGCATCACCAGCACCAGCAGCAGCGCCACCCACAGCACCACCACCATCACCGCCACTACCAGCAGCACAGCCACTAGCCTCGCCCTTCAAGCCCAGCTGTTCTAATGTTTCAGGAGTGAACCCTAGATTGTGCAGCATGGCAGCATCCACGCCCATGGCTTGTAGCATGCCCATGTCCACGCCCATGCCCCTCAACACGCCCGCGTCCACCCCCATGCCCGCCAGCATACCCGGATTCACCCCCATGCCCGCCAGCATGCCCGGACTCACCCCCATGCGCTCAAGCGCAGATGCATCCAGCCCCATCTGCCCCGTCTCCCCTATCTGCCCCATTCCCCCCATCTGGCCCATTCCCCCCATCTGGCCCATTCCCCCCATCTGGCCCATTCCCCCCATCTGGCCCCCCATCTGGCCCATTCCCCCCATCTGGCCCATTCCCCCCATCTGGCCCATTCCCCCCATCTGGCCCATTCCCCCCATCTGCCCCATTCCCCCCATCTGCCCCGTCTCCCCTATTTGTCCCATTCCCCCCATCTGCCCCATTCCCCCCATCTGCCCCATCCCCCCCATCTGCCCCATCCCCCCCATCTGCCCCATCCCCCCCATCTGCCCCATTCCCCCCATCTGCCCCAGCATAGCACCATCCAACCCTCCACCCGGTAAAAAACCTGCCCCTGCCCCTGCCCCTGCCCCTGCCCCTGCCCCTGCTACTGCCCCTGCCCCGTCTGAAGCATCCCCTGCCAATTGCCCCCCGCCAGCCCCACTGCTCCCCCGCCAGGCGCCCTCCTCCGCCGTCCCCCCTTTCTCTTGTTCCCTTCCCACCTTTCCCCCTCCAGAGCTCGCCCTCCGCTTCCTGGAAGCCGCGCCTGCACCTCCCGTTGACCTGCTTGAGTGCGTTGACCAGCCAGTGACATCCTGCCACGTGGCAGGGGCATCTGCAGCCGGTAAACAGTGCTGGAAGAATTGGTACCGCTCTGAACCTCCCACGTTTCCGGTTTGGGCTAGGTAAGCCAAGTGGTCAGGGAGAGGGGTTGAGAAGGAGGGAGGGTAAGGGAATGGCGAGAAGACAGGAAGGCGGGCCAGGCTGGTCGGACCCAGGGACGCTTCAACGCCCCGGGGCGGGAGGGCCGCTGAGAGGTTCAGGCTGGTGACATGGGAAAACGACTCAAAGGGGCTTTTCTGGTGACTGCTTAGGCTGGTTGGACTGCCTAGGCTGCTTCCTGGGCTGCGTAAGTTGTCTGGCGTGGGATTTGCAGCGCACGTGCCTAGAATGGACGCGAAGGCGACAGCAGGAGGTCGCGAGGTGTAGCACTGAGAGGGAACGAGGGCGAGAGAGGATGGAGGGGACGCAGGGACACCGTCGCTGCCACTCCTGCCGCTGCCGCTGCCGCTGCCGCTGCCACTACCACTACCACTGCCGCAGCCGCTGCCGCTGCCACTGCCACTGCCACTGCCATTCTTGCTGTTCTCACTGCCCGAATCACTACTGAGGCGACTGTGAGTGCTCGGAGTGTTCGAGCCGCCACGTGCCTGGCTCGTCCTCTTGCGACCCGCCACCTGGCGAATCGCCGGCCGGCGAATCAAATCCCTGCTGCAGGAGCCCACCCCGGCTGTGTTTGCGGCTGAAGCGGCGGCGGCTGCTGCTGCCGCCCGGCCTGGAGATTTGATTTCCTCCAGCAGCTGTGCCAGCCTGGTGGACATGTCCGCCGGCCGGCGAGCGCTAGGAAGGTTGTTGTTTCGGGCGACAGACGCGATTTTGTTGGTCGGCTTAACAGCAGTGCTAGTTGCCTTGACACCGGAGCTCTTAGCGATGCTCCCACCAATGCTGCCACCAATGCTTTCTTCACCAGCAGTGCTCTGTGTGGTGGTAAGCTCAGTCGTAACGCCGCGTGTGCTGCCACGTGTGGCGCTCAGAGTGGCGGCGGCGACAGGCGGGGCGAGCAGCAGCGGTCGCTTGCAAGGAGGACTCGGGGAGGCGAGACCAGGGAGACGCGCGGAGGGAGGCGGGCACGAGGCAGCAGTCGCAGGCGTGAACGACGGTGCAAAAGATGGTGCAAAGGATGGTGCGAACGATGGTGCGAACGATGGCGCAAATGAAGGTGCAAACGAAGAGGAGGAGAAATGAGGTGCGAAAGGAGGTGAGAACGTAGGAGGGAGAGGCGCCCGCTGCTCCTCCGCTCTTCCTCCTCCCCCTGCTCCTCCGCTCATCCCTGTTTCTCCGGCCCCCCTTGTTCCTACGCCCGCCTCTGCTCCGGCGCCAGTCTCGTCCCTCCGCAACAGCACTTCTGCGCCACCCGTTCCGCTCCTCTCCGCGTCGTCCCCTTTCTGCGCAACCCATCCTCCGCCCTCCCCCACCCCAGAATAAGGTGCCGGGGAAAACCGGTCGAGCCAATGAAAATGCAACAGCTGGCAGCCTGCGCAATCGCAGCCGTCCGGGCAAGCAGGAAGGAAGATCGGCTCGCCCTCCGCCGCGACAGCGGACAACCGGGAGGGGGAAGCGGAAGCGGGAGGGGGAACGAAAGCGGAAGCGACAGGAGGTGCGACAACCAACTCATCTCCGACGGGCAGAGCGGATCTCAGCTGAGCGACCTTCTCCTCCTTTTCCCCTCCGTCACCCTTTCCCCACCCTATTCGTTCGTCAACCTCAGCGTATTTTTCGATTCTATTCATCCCGTCAAATCCATCCCCTTTCTCCTCCGCCTCCCCTCCGTCCGCCAGCAGATGTCGCACCTGATCCCAGTCAAGCCCCGACGCCGCGCTGCTGACGTGGCCCGAAGATCCGGAAGGAACCGCCTGAGCTGGCGGATAAGCCTCCACGTGGATCTCTTCCGTGCATGCCACGGTGTGAGCGAGTCCTTCTGGAACAATCTCGAGGTTGGTTTGAAACGAAGAGAAAATCGGCGATGCCGAGGAGACGGCACAATCTATTGCCGGAGGGTCGGGATTCAGAGTCCAGTCAGAGGGGGGAATCGCGGAAGGAGTCCCGGCACATCCTTGCGCTGGCGGGAAAATGGAATCCCAAGGTGCGCTGGCGAAGGTCGGCGACGGGAACGTCGGGTTTTGAGTCGCCTCGAAAAGCGGCGACGGGAACGTTGAGGTGCCGGAGGGACCTAAGAGGTTCGACATGTTCGTGTCGAGATTGAACGCGTGGAGGATACCTAAGCTTGTTCTGAGACGTCTCCGAACCTATCTTGGGTTTACGAGATCGTGGAAGCGCGTGACGAATTCTTTTCGGATATATACAAATCACGAACAATGGCGCATACTCAAGCACGAGAAATAAAAAAATGGGCAGGTCGCAGACGAAAAAGGGAGAAAAAACGGGAAAACCGTTGTAGACGGGAAATCGTTGCAGACGAAAAGCAGAATCGCAAGCTGGGTTTTCACTAAACCGAAGGTCAGCAACTGAACTCGTTTTCAAACGTCCGTAGAACAAGTGACTGAAATATGTCAGGGGGACGAAGTTACTACCCCCATGGATGCACATACTTGCGCTGATGGACAACCGTAAGGGAAAACAGCCAACATCCCAGCATGCCTTGGTCGGGGTTCGGGAATCCCTAGGTTACCCTCTGACACGCTCTTCGACGAAGATCTGGCGATCTGTGTTTCGCTGTAACTTTATCGTTGCGAAGACCATGGTCCCAAATCTTCTGTGGTGAGTTTGTCCGTCACTAGCACCACCAACAATTGTGAACCGTCGATTTGTGAGTGACTAGTCAGCCTGACAGGACAGTTGGGACTCGGGAATGTACAGTACTCGGGAAATTCTGATGCGAGAGCTGGGCAGGAGGGAGGAACCTGAGTCGATGACGTCATGTTCTGTACAAAACAAAGTACCCTTGACCACGGTCAGACACACCACACTCTTCGCATCATTGGCTACATGACATGAGCACGCTCATACCGCATAGCTTTTGCAATCCGATAAGAACAACTCCATTCACAACATAATACAATGTATGGTATCCACCAGCAACAGGAGTGATTGCATTGGCTGGGTTCTAGCATAAGAAAAAACAAAGGGAGACAGGAGCATTCAACAGGGTGTGCTGTTGAGGCGGCTCAAGGGAGCACCAATCACAAGGCACCCTATTGAGAGGCCTCAACCGCTCACACAAGGAGCAAACCATAAACAATCACAGAAGTGATTAGAAGCAATCCACACTTTTAGCAGTGCTGAAAATAATCCTTAGTTCAGAGGTGCGCATGGGCACTGGAGTGATCCAAGGACCTGCACATAGGTAGGTGACACACACACAGACAACAACACACCAACAATGAAACACGGGAACATTGTGAGTGCTGGGACAAAAAACGACAAGGCAACAAAGGGCACTGGAGGAGGGGAAGGGGCATGGGGAGGAGGAAGCGTGTTGCAACAAAGGTACCGGTAGGTTAGAGAACGAGGAAGGGAGGATGCGGGGAGGGAAGGAGGGAAGGAGGGAGGAAGAAGAGAGTGGGGGGAGTCAGGACGAAGATGCTTACTCCGCCTCGATGACCATGGCTGAGGCTCCACCACCACCGTTGCACACTCCAGGTGACTTTGAGTCGACTCAAAAGTCACGTGGAAACAAAGAGAGCGGGGAAAGCAGGGACGAGGATGCTTACTCTGCCTCGATGACCATGGCCGAGGCTCCACCTCCTCCGTTGCACACTCCTGCCACACCAATCTGCCCACCCTTCCGCCGCAGCACCTGATTGGTGGACACACAAGGGTGGTTTCGCAGCAAGGAAAGTATTAGCATCAGACCAGAACCTGTGGGGAGTGAAAGGGGAAAAATAGCATGTCCTCACCCAACCCACGGTCGTTACACTCATTGGTGCCCCGCACGCCAAGCAGCAGAACAATGACACTCACACCCCCTGCCCCTTCTGAAGGTCCCTTCAACCCCACTGCTTCCACACACTCCTGCTCCAAAGCCACACTCACGTGCACACTCAATCCTCTGAAACCCACGGCATTCACACACACCCGCCCACACACCCACCCACACACCCCGTACTCACCCCCAGCGACAATGATGCGTGCCCCGCTGCACCCCCACGGGTGCCCAGTTTTGAGACGACTCAAACCCCCACGGGTGCCCGAGCGACCGCCACAGCGCCACACGTCAAAGGCCCCCTCAACCCACTGCCGCCACTCAACCCTATCCCAAGCCACACTACCCTACCCCACGTCACACTCACCCCCAGCAGCGAGACAATGATGCGCGCCCCGCTGCACCCCAGCGGGTGCCCCAGCGCCACAGCGCCGCCATGCATGTTCAGGCGCTCAGCTGGCACGTTCAGCAGCTTCTGATTGGCCAGCGCCACCACCTGGAAGCGCGGATGAGGTGGTTGGGGGGAGGGGAAGGAGAGTAGAGTAAAGTGGGAGGGGAGGAAGGGGGGAGCAGACGAGGGAGGTGAGCAGTGGGGGGTGGAGCAAGGGCGAAGGCAGGGTGGAGAGGATGACGAGTGAAAGTAGGGGGGCAAGGGAGGAAGCGGAAGGGGGTAGAGAGAGGAGTGCAGGCGAGAGCAGCCAGAGAAGGGCACAACGAGTGAGAGGAGGCAGATGGAAATGAAGCAGGTGAAAGGACGGAGAACGAGAGCAGGCGCAGGAGGGAGACAACGAGCAGGAAAGCATGGGAGGGGCAGCAGGAGGGGCGGGCGGCAGGAGGGGCGGGAGGAGGGGCGGCAGGAGAGGCAGCAGGAGGGGTGGCACGTACGGAGAAGGCTTCGTTGACCTCCCAGCAGTCCACCTCCGCGGGGTCTATGCACGCATGCTTCAAGGCACGCGGAATGGCGAGCGCGGGGGCTGTGGTGAAGCGCTCAGGGGCCTGTAGGGGGCGGAGGGGGGAGGGGGGAGGGGGGAAGGGGGAAAGGCGTTGATAGGGAATTGAGCGGAAGGGGAGGGGGAGGGGGAGGGGGAATTGATGCTGCAGAGTGTGCGGAGTGGCCATTGCTTCTCCAAGGTGCGGGGAATGCGGACGAGACGTGGTGAAGTGGGCAGGGGGCTTGGGGGAAAGGGGCGAGTGGGGGGGAAGGAGGTGGGAAGGAAGAGCAGGGGAGACTGGAGGCGAAAATATGCATCCTGAGAAACGTGAACCGGTTGCTCTTCTCAACCCCGTTTGCCCTTCCCGTGCCCTTAGCGCAACGCCTTCGCAACGGCCCTCACCTGCTCGGCGTCAGCGAAGCCGCGAATCACGGCGAGCACCTTCAGCCCCAGGCTGTCCGCCTTGCCGCGGCTCGTCAGCACCACGGCCGCGGCGCCGTCGCTAATCGCCGACGCGTTCCCCGCCGTGACCGTCCCGTGCTCCTTAAAACACGGCCGCAGATTTCGCAGCTTCTTCTCGTCGAATTTCGCGCACGCCTCGTCGCGATCGACGATTAAAGCCGGCTTGCCCTTCCCCGCCTTCACCTCCACCGGCACAATCTCCCACTCAAACGCGCCCTCCGCGTTCGCCGCCGCGGCGCGCTGGTGCGTCAGCACCGCGTGGTCGTCCTGATCCGCGCGCGAGATATTATACTCCTCCGCGCAGGTTTCCGCGAAGCATCCCATGGGGTCGTCGGCGTACGCGTCGCACAGCCCGTCGCGCTGCATGCCGTCCATGATCTCCGCGTTGCCGAAGCGGTAGCCGCCGCGCGCCTTGGAGAGGTAATAGGGCGCGTTGCTCATGCTCTCCATGCCGCCCGCGACTACGACCTCGTTGATCCCCAGCATTATCGACTGCGCCGCCAGCGCGATGGCTGCGTTAGGGGGAACGGGAGGAGGATGGGGGAGGGGAAGAGTGGAGATGAGGGGGGAGACGGGGAGATGGAGGAATTTGGGGAGAAAGAGGGAAAGAAAGTGGACAGCGGGTCGCGGATGAAGCGAGGTGACCAAGGACACGCTTGAGCGAAAATGCAGCATTCTGCGAGATTTGCGAAATTTAACGACATCATTAAGAAGGAAAAGGAAGACAGAAGGAACAGATGACGCATCTCCGCACCTTTCATGCCCGACGCGCAGACTTTGTTGACGGTGGTGGCGACGACGCTCTCGGGGAGGCCCGCGCCCATGGACGCCTGGCGCGCGGGCGCCTGGCCGAGATTCGCGCTGAGCACGTTGCCCATGATCACCTCCTCCACGTCAGCAGGCTCCAGGCCGGAGCGCCGCACGGCCTCTGCGGGGAGGGAGACGAGGCGAGAACAGACAACGTCGGGTAATTGATTAACTCGAGCAAGACAGGTGATTGGAAATGTGGGAAGCCGACTGGAAGTTACTCAGCTTGAATTCGTGGGAAACGGAAAAAGAAATGCACTGTTCACGGACGACAAACTTGTCCAGAGTTATCGCTTTCTCACAGGAGACAATAAACCGGTGTAACACTGCAAATCAACGGTGTAAGAGCGCAAAGCGCAGAGCGCTTAACGCACAGCGCATAGTGCACCTTTGATGGCGACAGATCCGAGTTGGGTGGCAGGAAGGGAGGAGAGGGCGCCCATGAAGGCTCCCATGGGCGTGCGCGCCGCGGCCACGATGCACACCTCTGCAATCATCAACAGATCCAGCACACAATCGGACGGTCAATAAGCGTCGCTCAAACGCCGCGTCTTCGGTCTGGTTAACCGGACGGTTCGTAAAGAAGACAGAGAAAGAACAACTGGAGGGGAACAGCGGAGGGCAGGTAGACCGGAACTCGTGCAAAAAATGGAGAGGGTTCGGAAAGCTGACGCGATGTTGGAGGCCGAACGACAATCACCTTTCGGGTGGGTGCCATGGCGTGTCGCATGTCCGTTCTCGTGTGCGCGGGGGAAAGGCGATCCGGCCATGGTTAGGGTGAGCGACAGAAAGGGTTGCTAGCGATGCGACAGGTATAATTCAGCTAGTTCGGAAACAAAAACCGGTTCTTGATCTTCGCGCTCTTCTAAGTCTTGCTTGTCTTGGCGATGCGTGTGGAGCCGCGGTTGACACGAACAGAAGGGACGAAGTGTGAGAAGCGAGGAGCTTCAAGCTGAGAAGAGTCGCAATCTAGCAGTCTCTCACACTCTTTCGACGTGTTGTTGCAATGGCGGGACGACGTATTTCACCTTCTCTCGCTGAAATAATTTGCTGAGAAGGTGGAAAGAAAAAATTCCGAACGTGCGCAAAGAGTGGGTAGCGGGTAAGGTGTGGGGGAAGGCGCGGACGAGGTGCATGCGCGCCAGCGAAGCGGGGAGGGAATGTCGGACGAAAGCGGGGCGAGGGACAGGAGGAAGTTGGCGGAAGAAAGTCATCAGAATTCACCTCCGCTTTTCTTTCCCCCTAGTCTTGCGCCTACCGCGTCGCGCAAGCTTGGAGGTGTACACCTGGCGCATGGAAATGCGCGCGGCGGTGAGCCTAGGTTTTGAGTGGGCGGGGCAAAGGGCAACTCGTCGCAGACACTATTCCGCGACTAGCAGACGATGTTTCTTATTTGCTGGACAGTCATGACGACAAGGTCGTCTGGCAGCGAGCTTTCTCGACCTCTTGGAAATGTAACCCTACGAATGAAATAAACGCGGCGAAACAAGTTCGCAGCCAGAGATTGGTGGCGCCGACAGAGAAAGCTAGGCAGCCAAGCCAATGGGAGCAAAGTTAGGGTTTGAATTCTTCGGAGGAAAGCCTTCAGGGAAGGTGGTCTAGCAACAGTGCCCCGCCACGGTGTCCGCTAGTCCTCTTCGGCGAAGCTGTCACGGGGCTTGCGCAAACGGCGCACTTGGTTCGTCGAATTCACATGTTGGGCAGCATCTGAACAAAACGAGGCTATCATTGATTGGTCACCGTTTGTTTGTTGCGAACCAATCCCTCGTGTTCGGTGTCGGGATCGGCAGAGCATGACTGTAGGCTGCCCAGCTGATGGTGAAAATTTTCCTTGGGGAATCCATCGGAGCATGTCGCGCAGAAGAACCGTATGGTGGTCAAAATCCGCTGCCAATAACATCGATACAAGTGCAGTACATTTGTGAGTTTCAGGCACCAGATTTATCAGGCGAGCAAACTATATCCCTACTTACACAAGAGTAGTCAGCTATACATACAAAGCATCGAGGTCCTGCTGAAACTTCCGGCGAACAACATCGCGCTTTAGCTTCAAGGCTGCTGTCAACAGGCCGCTGTCAGGAGTCCATGGCTCTTGGAGCAGCTTGATCCTTGTAGGCACTTCAAACTTTTGAAGTTTACCCTCCTTGCTCACCTGTTGTTTTGCAACAAGGGACAGCAATTCCAGGGTCAGCAGCAATCAACGCAAATAAATCAGGAAAACAAATACTCATCGTTGCATAAAACCCAAGAATGGAGAAACGAGCAAGATGGGTCTAGTTTGCAAAATCATTGGCCTTCAGCCAGCCACCTCACCTCGGCAAGAGACTTGAGCACTTGAGAGACCGCCTCTGGATTCGCACACAGCACAGCATAGTCAGTGCTATCCACGCCCTGGGCCTTGGCCCATGCAACCAGGGCCGGCTTGGATGGCACCACGAGAGCTATGGTGAAGGTCTTGAACGGGTCGGCATAGAGCATCACGTTCTCGACAAAGGAACTCACTTGCAGCACCGCCTCCACCTGGCGTTGGGAGTACAAAGGGAGAAGGGAGAAGGGAGAAGGGAGAAGGGGAAGGTCAAAATGAAAACACGAGTGATTGTTGGGTGCGGTTTGGGTTGACTGTGGGTGTATTTGAATGGGTCAACATAGAGCATCACGTTCTCAACGAAGGAGCTCACTTGCAGCACTGCCTCCACCTGGCGTTGGGAGTACAAAGGGAGAAGGAACAAGCGAACACACGAAAACGCAAGGAAGTGCGGTTTGGGTTGACTGGGTGCATTTGAATGGGTCGGCACAGAGCATCACATTCTCGACAAAGGGACTCACGCTGTACCTTCCCCAGCGACACGTATTCCCCCGCCTGCAGCTTCACGACGTTCTTCTTTCTGTCGATGATCCGGAACATGCCATCCCGACCCACCTCGTGCTTCACAACCCCCCTCTCATCCCCGTCCTCTACCCGGGGGAGGTATAGCCCCCTCTTTCTTCCCACCGTACCTTCCCCAGCGACACGTATTCTCCAGCCTGCAGCTTCACAATGCCCTTCTTCCTGTCGATGATCTGGAACACCCCGTCTGGATGCACCAACACCCCCCCCCCCCCCCCCCCCCCCCCCCCCCTTTCCTGCTCTCCCAAGTGCAGTGCAGCCAATCACATGGTGCTCTGCCCTTACATACTATACCCTACTGCCCACCGTACCTTCCCCAGCGACACGTATTCCCCCGCCTGCAGCTTCACAATGTCCTTCTTCCTGTCGATGATCTGGAACACCCCGTCTGGATGCACCTCCCCCACGTCGCCCGTTGCAAACCACCGGATGCCCTTGCTATCCACCTGGGAAGGGAAGTGGAGAAGGGAAGAGCGAAATGGGACAAGAAGAAGAGTGGAACAGTACACCCTTGCCTGCAACCCATCCGGGTGCACCTCCCCCACGTCGCCCGTTGCAAACCACCGTATGCCCTTGCCTGCAGTTTGAACCCATCCGGATGCACCTTCCCAACCTTCCCAACCTTCCCAACCTCCCCCACCTCGCCCACCTCCCCCACCTCGCCCACCTTCCCCACCTCGCCCTTTGCAAACCACCTGATGCCTTTCCCGTCGAACCACACTACCTCTCTCATCTCATCCCCTCAACCCCCGCCCCCACCACACACCACTCACTGAGAACACCACATCTGTGGCCTCCTGGTTCTTCCAGTATCCAGGCGCTACGCACTACCCTCCAGTATCCAATCATGGCAAGCACGTACAGTGATACAGACCGGATACACCCACAATCCCCTCCAACACTCACCGAGTACACGGCATCGGTGGCCACCTGGTTTTTCCAATACCCGGAGGCGACGCACGGCCCTCCGATCATGATCTCTTCCCACAGCAGCGGCTGGTTCTTCCAGTACCCAGGAGTGATGCACGGCCAGGTCTCTCACTCCCGCCCTCATCCCCTTCACCGCTCCATACCCCTCTTAACCCCACACGCACCGAATACACGGCATCGGTGGCCTCCTGGTTCTTCCAGTAACGAGGGGTGATGCACGGCCCTCCGATCATGACAAGGACTGACAGTGATACAGACCGGATACACCCACCCCTCCTCCCACACTCACCGAGTACACGGCATCGGTGGCCTCCTGGTTCTTCCAGTACCCGGGTGTGACGCCCTGGTCCCTCCCTCACACCCTCCCTCATCCCCTTCACCGCCCGAAACCCCTGTGCACACCCACTCACCGAGTACACGGCATCGGTGGCCTCCTGGTTCTTCCAGTACCCTGGGTTGACACACGGCCCTCCGATCACACTCATCCCCACCGCTTCACACCCCTGTGCACACCACTCACCGAGTACACAGCATCCGTGGCCTCCTGGTTTTTCCAGTACCCGGGAGTAACACACAGCCCTCCGATCATGATCTCCCCCCGAGGCAACGGCTGGTCTGTCACACGGTAGTTGCCCTCTGCCCAGTCCACCAGCTGGGGTGGTTAGAGAGGGGAAGAGGGAAAGTTAGTCGATTAGAGATGGTGTGGTTACGTAACATGGTAACACAGATGGTCTGTCACACGGTAGTTGCCCTCTGCCCAGTCCACCACCTGGGGTGGTTGGAGAAAGAGGGGGAGGGGAGGAAGAATTTCAATGAGTAATGATGTGGTAACGTGGTAACAAACCTAGTCTGTCACACGGTAGCTGCCCTCTGCCCAGTCCACCGGGAAAGTTAGTCAATTAGAGTTGGTGTGGTTACGTAACATGGTAACACAGATGGTCTGTCACACGGTAGTTGCCCTCTGCCCAGTCCACCAGCTGGGGTGGGTTGGAGAAAGAGGGGGAGGGGAGGGAGGAATTCAATGAGTAATGATGTGGTAACGTGGTAACAAACCTAGTCTGTTACGCGGTAGTTTCCCTCCGCCCAGTCCACCAGCTGGGAGAGAGATGGGGGGGAGAGAGTAGAGCAGTGAGACAATGAAGCGTGACATGGTAACACGGTAACAGCTGGTCTCCAGTCATGATCTCCCCCCGCAGCAACGGCTGGTCTATTGCACGGTAGTTGCCCTCCTCCCACTCCACCAGCTGGGGTTGGATGGGAAACGAGTGGGATCATGTATCATTTAGGCATGTCATGGTAACATGGTAACATGCTGGTAACAAGTAACATGGTAACAAGTAACATGGTAACATGATAACGTGGTAACATGGTAACATGATAACGTGGTAACATGATAACATGATAACATGGTAACATGATAACGTGGTAACATGATAACACAGCTGGTCTTGCACACAATAGTTGCCCATCTGGCAGTTCACCAGCTGGGTCAAAAGACAAGGGGGGAGGGGGAGGAGTGAGACAATGAAGCATGTCATAGTAACACGGTAAGACAGTGAGAAAATGCTGGTAGATTTTACCTGCCTTTCTCTCCAGAACATGGCTTAAGTCAGACGGACAACTACCGAGACAAAAGCCACCAGGATGTAGCAACAGTGGGGGTCCACCCAAATGAGCGGCAGTTTGGAGTTGAAGGTTCAGCGAAACAAGGACTCACCCGGATGTAGCAGCAGGGGATGGGCGGCCCGACTCTCCCCACTGAAGTGTCAGAAAATTCTGCGAAGGTTCCTCCAGAGCATGTTTCTGTGAGCCCGTAGCCCTGGCCAATGGGAACGCTGCAGGTTGGAAAATGAGGAACGGCGCACGAGACAAGTGGGAAACGGGGAAAATGAGACACGAGACATGAGACGAGACAAACAGCGCACGAGAAACAGAAAAGGCGGAGCAGCAGAGGGTGTTGGAACATCGAATCTGGACAGCGCATAGCAGCACTCACTTAAAGCACACGTTGATGAAGCGCTGGGTGTCAGGCGACAGGGGTGCTCCCCCTGACAGCATGTATCGAAGCCTGCCGCCCACCGCCGCCCGGATTCGCTTAAAGACAAGCGCGTCCCACAGGTGCTTCTCCAGCCCCCACGCGCCCGCCCAGCTGCCGTTGATCGCCGCCAATCGACGGCTGTAAGCGAGGTCGAAGAGCTGCTGCACCGTGGGGGACTGCGTTGCCATCTGGGGGAGGAAGGAAGTGGGGAGGGAGGGAGGGAGGGAGGGAGGGAGGGAGGGAGGGAGGGAGGGAGGGAGGGAGGGAGGGAGGGAGGGAGGGAGAGGGGGAACGGGGGGCGGGGGAATGGGAGGGTGAGGTTGGGGGGGGGGGTGGATCACACATCGAAAGAAAAGTGAATTGCTGATTGCCGCCAATCGACGGCGGTAAGCGAGCTCGAAGAGCTGCTGGACTGTGTGACGGTGGGGAAAGCGTTGCAAGAAATAGAGGGGATTAGAGGGGATGGAAGAAATAGGAATGGGGGAAGTGGGGATGGGGGAAGTACGGATGGGGGAAGTAGGGATATGAGGGTGGGTCTCAGCAAATACACCTCCCACTTCCTCCCACAAGCCATCAACACTCTCTTTCTCCTGCAAACTCACCTTGCTTCACAGCACACCACCACCCAGCACCGCACATCACCGCACTCACCTTCCGCCTGACGCCGTCACCAACCTTATCCAGAAAAGCCGGCACACGGCAGCCATGAGGGTGGGGCGCAGAGCAGACAGATCGCCCTTAGCCCCAGCAGCCATCACTATAACACTCTGCCTGCTACCACAGACTCACCTTTCTTCACCACACACCCAGATTTCTCCACCGCACACCACCGCACTCACCTTCCTCCTGACCCCATCGCGGATCTTATCCAGAATGGCGGGCACGGCAGCCATGAGGGTGGGGCGTAGAGCAGACAGGTCGCCCTGTCCCCCGGGCTTGAGCTTGCCTGCCCCGTCGATCACCGTGAGTGGCGACCCATACCCGATGGTTGCTCCTATCGATACCATGCCCGTCTGGTTGGAGGGGAGGGGGATAGGGAGGAGCAAGAGTGTGAATGCGAGGGTGGGGCGCAGAGCAGACAGGTCGCCCTTGCCATCAGCTTGCCTGCCCCATCGATGACTGTGAGGGGCGAGCCATACCCGATGGTTTCCCCTATCAATACCATGCCCGTCTGGTGCAAGTGAAGAACGGTTGGGGATGGGAGAGGGGTGTGTGTGTGGCAGGGGGGTGATGCAGATGAGGAAAGAAGGGAACGATGAGCAAAAGGTGTCCTCACCTGCAGATTCAAGCTTCGACCTGATTGGTAATAAGATACCTCGACACACGAGGAGGCTAACACAGCACTTTCTGCGTATGTTTTCTGAGAATTCTAAAAAAACATACGCGGTAATAAGATACATCGACACGAGGAGGCTAACACAGCACTTGCCTCTGCAAAATGCTCGAAACCCCTGAAGTACAAGAGAGACAAAGGTGCTCACACAGGCAGTGAGTTCAAGGGGGTATACGAGGGGCAGGAAGGTAACGCACACATCGCTCTCCACGGCATCATGGTGCTTAAATTTAATATGCCCAGAGAGCCTGAACCCACACGCGGCAGATAGGCAACGTTCACCCGGTTCCCTCCCGTCGACAGTATGGTACCCATCACTTCATGTACCCATCGCTTCATATACCCATCGCTTCATATACCCATCGCTTCATATACCCATCGCTTCAAACACCCATCGCTTCATATACCCATCGCTTCATATACCCATCGCTTCATATACCCATCGCTCCATATACCCATCGCTTCATATACCCATCGCTTCAAACACCCATCGCTTCATATACCCATCGCTTCAAATACCCATCGCTTCATACACCCATTGCTTCATATACCCATCGCTTCATATACCCATCGCTTCATATACCCATCGCTTCATATACCCATCGCTTCATATACCCATCGCTTCAAACACCCATCGCTTCATACACCCATTGCTTCATATACCCATCGCTTCATATACCCATCGCTTCATATACCCATCGCTTCATATAGCCATCGCTTCATACACCCGTCGCTTCATACACCCATCGTTTCATATACCCATCGCTTCATATACCCATCGCTTCATATACCCATCGCTTCATATACCCATCGCTTCATACACCCATTGCTTCATATACCCATCGCTTCATATACCCATCGCTTCATATACCCATCGCTTCATATACCCATCGCTTCATATACCCATCGCTTCATATACCCATCGCTTCATATACCCATCGCTTCAAACACCCATCGCTTCATACACCCATTGCTTCATATACCCATCGCTTCATACACCCATCGCTTCATATACCCATCGCTTCATATACCCATCGCTTCATATACCCATCGCTTCATATACCCATCGCTTCATATACCCATCGCTTCATATACCCATCGCTTCAGACGTCTAACACTAACCCCAGCAGTGAGCTCGAGCGAGTGTGCGAGGGGCAGATAGGCAATGCACACATCATTCTCGTCGGCATCAGGCACGAGCGAGCAGACCAAAGAGCCTCATATCCACAGAGCTTACAAACGCAGCGCACCTCTGCAGTGAGCTCGAGCGAGTGGGCGAGGGGCAGGTAGGAAATGTACACATCATTCTCGTCTGCAGTATGGTGTTGCTTCATATGCCCCTCGCTTCATACGGATAACACTCAGCTTTGCAGTGAGTTCGAGGGAGTGTGCGAGGGGCAGGTAGGGAAGGGAATGTACACATCGCTCTCGTCGGCAGTATGGTGCTGCTTCATATGCCCCTCGCTTCAGAAGTCCAACACTCACCTCTGCAGTGAGTTCGAGGGAGTGGGCGAGGGGCAGGTACGCAATGTACGAGTCGTTCTCGTCGGCATCGGGCACGAGTGCCATGACTGCTGCAAAGACTGCCACTAGGTTGCCGTGAGTCATCATCACGCCCTGAAGGTGGGTGTCATGGGAACAGGTAGGACGAGGGAAGGGACGGGGGGGGGGAGATGGGAGAGTGCACATGGCACGAGCGCCATGACTGCTGCAAAGGCTGCCACTAGGTTGCCGTGAGTCATCATCACGCCCTGCGGAATAGGTGGATGCATGGGGTGGGTGCGATGGCACAGGCAGGAAGAGGGGAGGGAGGAGGGGGGGAAGGGATGGGATGGGAGGGTGCATGTGGCACGAGCGCCATGACCACTGCGAAGACTGCCACCATGCTGCCATGTGTCATCATCACACAGTGACGGGAGGGGTGCATGGGGTGAGAAAGGGGGAGGGAGAAGGGAAGGGGAGAGGGAGAACGGAAAGGGAGGAGCAGGAAGGGCGGAAGTGAGGGAAGGAGAAGAGAGGGGATGGTGATGGGATGGGGCAAGCAACGGCATGGCATGACACGGCTTGGTATGGGATGGAACGACATGGCATGACATGGCATGGTATGGGATGGAACAGCATGGCATGGCATGGCATGGGACGGAACAGCATGGCATGGGATGACATGGATGGCATGGGATGGCATGGAACGGCATGGCACCACATGGCATGGCATGGCATGTCATTGATGAGTTTGGATGGGTTGACGTACCTTGGGAACTCCAGTGGATCCTGACGTGTACATGATGAATGCCAGGTCAGACGACTGCGGCAGATTCGACTCGACTGGACTCTCCACCCCTTTGGCCTCCACGTCAGCATAGGGAATCACTGTGATGCTCCCTATGGTGCTGGGCAGCGGATCCTCGTTACTGACGGTTTCGTTGTCAGCCATCTGCTCTGCCATGACTATAACGCGCTTCACTGTAGAGAGGCGGGAGTGCACCTCTGCGAGCTTGTCAAACTGCTTCCTATCACACACCACTGTTGCCACTTCGGTCTGAGTAAAGGGGATGAAGAGAGCAAGAGAAGACGAGAAGGAGAGAAGAAGAGAAACGAGAAGAGACAACAGGGTAAAAGGAAAAGAATAGAAGAGGAGACAAGGGGAATAGACGGAGCAAGAAGGGTGTGAAGTCAACAGGTACGATTGCAAGTAAGGGAGCATGTAACCGCATTTAACCACATTCAACCACATTTAACCGCAGAACAGCATATCCGCACCAGTCCTTACCCTTCTTTTCATGCCCCATGTTTGTGCCACAACATACACCGTCACCACCAGCTCGTGCTGAAACACTTCCTTGCAAGTTCAAATGACTCACCCTCGTTATAAGCTTACCTCGTTAAGCGAGTGAACCAGCGCGTCCGTCCCCAGAGACGCATACACCGTCACCACGACAAGCCCGTGCTGAAACGCGCCCTGCATCGCGATAAACCAGTCCGCGCGCGTCTCAGCAAACATCGCCAGCTTCTCCCCGCGCCCATGGCCGCTCCCCATCAGCCCCGCGCCGAACGCCACCACGCGCTCGTGCACGCGCTCGTACGATTCCCACTCGTACTCCCCGAGCGTTACTCTCTCCACCTGCTTGTCTATCTTCGCGTCGAATTCGAACTCGCGGGAGATTAATCTCCGCGTGCCGAGCAGGCGGCGGTTGCGGAACTTCTTAACGGACATGTTGAAGAGGCCCGGGATGGTGCTCGCGCCCGCGAACGGCGTCTCGAGGAGGCCCTGGAAGCGGCTGTGGCGGTACGTGATTCCCGGGCCGTCCACGTCAGCACGCACCCCGTAGATTCGATCCTCGGGGTCGAAAAAACTCGCGCTGGGAAGAGGAAGCGGGGAGGGGGAGGAGGGGGTTGGGAGTGTGAGGGGAGGTGGGAGGGACGGAAGATGGCGGAACGATGAACAGTAATAATCAAAGTCGGTAGCTAGAATCCAACAATGAAACAGAAAAAAACGGGGAAAACAATAAACTTCTGACAGTTTATTTCCGAATCATTCGATCAGAATAAGGTCAAAGAACATCGAATAGAGTGTCGATTTCGGATAGCTGTTGACTGTGGAGTATCAACAGCTGCACGCGCTCGAATTCGGAACCGGCGACGACGCGAGGGGAACTTGAATGGCGCTGACAGAGAGTCGATCTGTCACTGAAATTGGGAAGCCGAACTAGTTAGTAATCGATCTCACTCCACTCGCTCGCATTACGCGACGATCTTTGCGAGCTGCGCGAGGATCCTTGAGGAAGAGCCCAATGAGACTGAAGCCACCACTCTCTACCACTCGCTACCACTCACTTGATGTAATGATACACGAAAATCGCGAGCAGCGCGAGGCATACGGGAGCAGCGTTATCAGGTAACTAAACAGTCGACTCAAGAAACGACTGAATGGGACTAAATCCACCACTCATTACCACTCGCTACCACTCACTTGATGTATTGATATACGAAAATCGCGAGTAGCGCGAGGCACACGGCACCGACGTTGTCTACTAGAATGACGAGCAACGCCGCCGCTGGCGGTCCCACCACCGGCACGAGCCGTAGGAACCCCGCTGCGAGCGACGCCATGACCGCGGCCTGCGAACTAAGACGCTTCGCGCGAAATCTGCTACAGATTAGGAGAGATCGAATCTCCTAGGAGGAATGCAGCTTAGTCGAGGAACTGCAGCACCTACACACCGACAGAACAGAGTTCCGCTGGGTGACAATTCATCAGTGAGCTCTCGCAGCAAAACAAATTTCAAGGCAAGCTTTCTAAGCACCCTGCTGTATCAGGACGGAATGTCAGGATAGGTTCAAACGGCTGACAGTCAACTGACACACGACGGAGCGGAGCGGAGGTGTCCCTGCCCCAGATCTTGGCGGCAATGGTTTTCATTAACATATGAGCTCACAATGAATATAATGAACCATTATTCGGCAGTTAAACCAAACAAGCTTTTTGGGTGGGTTGCGTAGCAACCCTATATATTTGGTTTGACATTTTGGGGATATCATTTGAAGAGTGTTTTTTTACGCACTTTTTGGAGCACCCGTTTGAATGTTTGGAACTGTGTTCAAACGGATGCTACAAATAGTGAATAAAAACACTCTCAAATGAGATCCCCATATGTGAAACCAAATACTGTACGTATCATGTTGAAACCATGAATTTGCTCGACCATCCCAGCATCGTCGATAAATACGGCGGATGGTACAGCCGAGCATAATATTCTGGCATCAACATGCACGAATGCAGTTGTACAAATGCACAACAAAGTATGAGGTGGAGTGGTTGCTTCAAAATGAATGTTAAGATGCACCATATAGCAATAGAGGTTGACTGGGTCGTTGAAACAGCGAAAACACGCTGCCCCAAAGACGATTAACAACCTCTAATTACATACATGACACATAGTAACAACACACTTTGAATCACACATCCCACAAACACAGATGCAAACGCTCGTAAAAATGTACAACACCACGTAACAATTGTGAACGAATTGAAGTGGATGCTCAATATACACCAATGTTGCAACTGAGATTGATGGGGTCGTTGAAACAGCGAAAACACGCTGCCCCAACGACGATGACAACCTCAGATCACAAACACGATGCATATCAGCACAACAACCCCCTGTGAAACAACCAACTGACATGAACACACCCGCACAAACTGACCCGCACAAACACACCCGAACACACATGCATACACAAATAGGATTGAGAGAAGACAAGCATAACGAAGAGTTGAAATCATTTCATTTTGTATCAATCACTGCTAGCTTGTCCCCCCTTCCTCCCTCTTTCCGCCTTCTTTCCTCTCCCTCTACCATCAAAATCTCCTCCCACCCTTTTCCACATTGCCTTCTCTCTCGCATTCCCCTCCCTGCTCCCCACAACGCGTCTTGCACACCTTGCAAAACAAACAGGTCAAGTAAAAAATGAATTGTCGTCGAAGAACGCAGTGAATTATTCAATGACGACCACATACTTGATGGTGAAACGGAACTTGATAAGCACGTATGTGTTGAAATCTGATAAGTACAAAAGGAAAGTACCGATGGACATTGATACAAAACAGAAATGAAACGCAATTCTTGCAACGAAAGAAATTGAATTTGACGACTCACAAGCGTCGTTTGAAACATAGATCCCCTGAGGTCACGCACACCACACTGGTGTGCAGCAAGGCTCCTGTGAGCAACGAGCTGGGCATTGCCATGCTACAAGGCGCCAGAGAGTTGCAGCAAGGCACCGGCAGACTGAGAAGAGAAAGCGGGCTGCCGTAGCAAGGCGTGAGCACACCGAAGCAAGGCGTGAGCTCACTGCAGCAAGGCGTGAGCTCACTGCAGCAAGGCGTGAGCTCACTGCAGCAAGGCGTGAGCTCACTGCAGCAAGGCGTGAGCTCACTGCAGCAAGGCGTGAGCTCACTGCAGCAAGGCGTGAGCTCACTGCAGCAAGGCGTGAGCTCACTGCAGCAACGCGTGAGCTCACTGCAGCAACGTGTGAGCTCACTGCAGCAAGGCGTGAGCTCACTGCAGCAAGGCGTGAGCTCACTGCAGCAAGGCGTGAGCTCACTGCAGCAAGGCGTGAGCTCACTGCAGCAAGGCGTGAGCTCACTGCAGCAACGCGTGAGCTCACTGCAGCAAGGCGTGAGCTCACTGCAGCAAGGCGTGAGCTCACTGCAGCAAGGCGTGAGCTCACTGCAGCAAGGCGTGAGCTCACTGCAGCAAGGCGTGAGCTCACTGCAGCAAGGCGTGAGCTCACTGCAGCAACGCGTGAGCTCACTGCAGCAACGAGTGAGCTCACTGCAGCAAGGCGTGAGCTCACTGCAGCAACGCGTGAGCTCACTGCAGCAACGCGTGAGCTCACTGCAGCAAGGCGTGAGCTCACTGCAGCAACGCGTGAGCTCACTGCAGCAAGGCGTGAGCTCACTGCAGCAACGCGTGAGCTCACTGCAGCAAGGCGTGAGCTCACTGCAGCAAGGCGTGAGCTCACTGCAGCAAGGCGTGAGCTCACTGCAGCAAGGCGTGAGCTCACTGCAGCAAGGCGTGAGCTCACTGCAGCAAGGCGTGAGCTCACTGCAGCAAGGCGTGAGCTCACTGCAGCAAGGCGTGAGCTCACTGCAGCAAGGCGTGAGCTCACTGCAGCAAGGCGTGAGCTCACTGCAGCAAGGCGTGAGCTCACTGCAGCAACGCGTGAGCTCACTGCAGCAAGGCGTGAGCTCACTGCAGCAAGGCGTGAGCTCACTGCAGCAAGGCGTGAGCTCACTGCAGCAAGGCGTGAGCTCACTGCAGCAAGGCGTGAGCTCACTGCAGCAACGCGTGAGCTCACTGCAGCAAGGCGTGAGCTCACTGCAGCAAGGCGTGAGCTCACTGCAGCAACGCGTGAGCTCACTGCAGCAACGCGTGAGCTCACTGCAGCAAGGCGTGAGCTCACTGCAGCAACGCGTGAGCTCACTGCAGCAACGCGTGAGCTCACTGCAGCAAGGCGTGAGCTCACTGCAGCAACGCGTGAGCTCACTGCAGCAAGGCGTGAGCTCACTGCAGCAACGCGTGAGCTCACTGCAGCAACGCGTGAGCTCACTGCAGCAACGCGTGAGCTCACTGCAGCAAGGCGTGAGCTCACTGCAGCAAGGCGTGAGCTCACTGCAGCAAGGCGTGAGCTCACTGCAGCAAGGCGTGAGCTCACTGCAGCAAGGCGTGAGCTCACTGCAGCAAGGCGTGAGCTCACTGCAGCAACGCGTGAGCTCACTGCAGCAAGGCGTGAGCTCACTGCAGCAAGGCGTGAGCTCACTGCAGCAAGGCGTGAGCTCACTGCAGCAAGGCGTGAGCTCACTGCAGCAAGGCGTGAGCTCACTGCAGCAAGGCGTGAGCTCACTGCAGCAAGGCGTGAGCTCACTGCAGCAAGGCGTGAGCTCACTGCAGCAAGGCGTGAGCTCACTGCAGCAACGGCGTGAGCTCACTGCAGCAAGGCGTGAGCTCACTGCAGCAACGCGTGAGCTCACTGCAGCAACGCGTGAGCTCACTGCAGCAACGCGTGAGGCTCACTGCAGCAACGCGTGAGCTCACTGCAGCAAGGCGTGAGCTCACTGCAGCAAGGCGTGAGCTCACTGCAGCAACGCGTGAGCTCACTGCAGCAACGCGTGAGCTCACTGCAGCAAGGCGTGAGCTCACTGCAGCAAGGCGTGAGCTCACTGCAGCAAGGCGTGAGCTCACTGCAGCAATGCGTGAGCTCACTGCAGCAAGGCGTGAGCTCACTGCAGCAACGCGTGAGCTCACTGCAGCAAGGCGTGAGCTCACTGTAGCAAGGCGTGAGCTCACTGCAGCAAGGCGTGAGCTCACTGCAGCAAGGCGTGAGCTCACTGCAGCAAGGCGTGAGCTCACTGCAGCAAGGCGTGAGCTCACTGCAGCAACGCGTGAGCACACGGAAGCAAGGCGTGAGCTCACTGCAGCAAGGCGTGAGCTCACTGCAGCAAGGCGTGAGCTCACTGCAGCAACGCGTGAGCTCACTACAGCAACGCGTGAGCTCACTGCAGCAAGGCGTGAGCTCACTGCAGCAAGGCGTGAGCTCACTGCAGCAACGCGTGAGCACACGGAAGCAAGGCGTGAGCTCACTGCAGCAAGGCGTGAGCTCACTGCAGCAAGGCGTGAGCTCACTGCAGCAAGGCGTGAGCTCACTGCAGCAAGGCGTGAGCTCACTGCAGCAACGCGTGAGCACACGGAAGCAAGGCGTGAGCTCACTGCAGCAAGGCGTGAGCTCACTGCAGCAAGGCGTGAGCTCACTGCAGCAACGCGTGAGCTCACTGCAGCAACGCGTGAGCTCACTGCAGCAAGGCGTGAGCTCACTGCAGCAACGCGTGAGCTCACTGCAGCAATGCGTGAGCTCACTGCAGCAACGCGTGAGCTCACTGCAGCAAGGCGTGAGCTCACTGCAGCAACGCGTGAGCTCACTGCAGCAAGGCGTGAGCTCACTGCAGCAAGGCGTGAGCTCACTGCAGCAAGGCGTGAGCTCACTGCAGCAAGGCGTGAGCTCACTGCAGCAACGCGTGAGCACACGGAAGCAAGGCGTGAGCTCACTGCAGCAAGGCGTGAGCTCACTGCAGCAAGGCGTGAGCTCACTGCAGCAACGCGTGAGCTCACTGCAGCAAGGCGTGAGCTCACTGCAGCAAGGCGTGAGCTCACTGCAGCAAGGCGTGAGCTCACTGCAGCAAGGCGTGAGCTCACTGCAGCAACGCGTGAGCTCACTGCAGCAACGCTTGAGTTCACTGCAGCAAGGCGTGAGCTCACTGCAGCAAGGCGTGAGCTCACTGCAGCAACGCGTGAGCTCATTGCAGCAACGCGTGAGCTCACTGCAGCAAGGCGTGAGCTCACTGCATTAAGGCGTGAGCTCACTGCAGCAAGGCGTGAGCTCACTGCAGCAACGCGTGAGCTCACTGCAGCAACGCGTGAGCTCACTGCAGCAACGCGTGAGCTCACTGCAGCAAGGCGTGAGCTCACTGCAGCAACGCGTGAGCTCACTGCAGCAATGCGTGAGCTCACTGCAGCAACGCGTGAGCTCACTGCAGCAACGCGTGAGCTCACTGCAGCAACGCGTGAGCTCACTGCAGCAAGGCGTGAGCTCACTGCAGCAACGCGTGAGCTCACTGCAGCAACGCGTGAGCTCACTGCAGCAACGCGTGAGCTCACTGCAGCAAGGCGTGAGCTCACTGCAGCAAGGCGTGAGCTCACTGCAGCAAGGCGTGAGCTCACTGCAGCAACGCGTGAGCTCACTGCAGCAACGCGTGAGCTCACTGCAGCAACGCGTGAGCTCACTGCAGCAAGGCGTGAGCTCACTGCAGCAAGGCGTGAGCTCACTGCAGCAAGGCGTGAGCTCACTACAGCAACGCGTGAGCTCACTGCAGCAAGGCGTGAGCTCACTGCAGCAAGGCGTGAGCTCACTGCAGCAAGGCGTGAGCTCACTGCAGCAACGCGTGAGCACACGGAAGCAAGGCGTGAGCTCACTGCAGCAAGGCGTGAGCTCACTGCAGCAAGGCGTGAGCTCACTGCAGCAAGGCGTGAGCTCACTGCAGCAAGGCGTGAGCTCACTGCAGCAACGCGTGAGCACACGGAAGCAAGGCGTGAGCTCACTGCAGCAAGGCGTGAGCTCACTGCAGCAAGGCGTGAGCTCACTGCAGCAAGGCGTGAGCTCACTGCAGCAACGCGTGAGCTCACTGCAGCAAGGCGTGAGCTCACTGCAGCAAGGCGTGAGCTCACTGCAGCAACGCGTGAGCTCACTGCAGCAACGCGTGAGCTCACTGCAGCAACGCGTGAGCTCACTGCAGCAAGGCTTGAGCTCACTGCAGCAACGCGTGAGCTCACTGCAGCAACGCGTGAGCTCACTGCAGCAATGCGTGAGCTCACTGCAGCAAGGCGTGAGCTCACTGCAGCAACGCGTGAGCTCACTGCAGCAACGCGTGAGCTCACTGCAGCAAGGCGTGAGCTCACTGCAGCAAGGCGTGAGCTCACTGCAGCAAGGCGTGAGCTCACTGCAGCAACGCGTGAGCTCACTGCAGCAACGCGTGAGCTCACTGCAGCAACGCGTGAGCTCACTGCAGCAAGGCGTGAGCTCACTGCAGCAAGGCGTGAGCTCACTGCAGCAAGGCGTGAGCTCACTACAGCAACGCGTGAGCTCACTGCAGCAAGGCGTGAGCTCACTGCAGCAAGGCGTGAGCTCACTGCAGCAAGGCGTGAGCTCACTGCAGCAACGCGTGAGCACACGGAAGCAAGGCGTGAGCTCACTGCAGCAAGGCGTGAGCTCACTGCAGCAAGGCGTGAGCTCACTGCAGCAAGGCGTGAGCTCACTGCAGCAAGGCGTGAGCTCACTGCAGCAACGCGTGAGCACACGGAAGCAAGGCGTGAGCTCACTGCAGCAAGGCGTGAGCTCACTGCAGCAAGGCGTGAGCTCACTGCAGCAAGGCGTGAGCTCACTGCAGCAACGCGTGAGCTCACTGCAGCAAGGCGTGAGCTCACTGCAGCAAGGCGTGAGCTCACTGCAGCAACGCGTGAGCTCACTGCAGCAACGCGTGAGCTCACTGCAGCAACGCGTGAGCTCACTGCAGCAAGGCTTGAGCTCACTGCAGCAACGCGTGAGCTCACTGCAGCAACGCGTGAGCTCACTGCAGCAATGCGTGAGCTCACTGCAGCAAGGCGTGAGCTCACTGCAGCAACGCGTGAGCTCACTGCAGCAACGCGTGAGCTCACTGCAGCAAGGCGTGAGCTCACTGCAGCAAGGCGTGAGCTCACTGCAGCAAGGCGTGAGCTCACTGCAGCAAGGCGTGAGCTCACTGCAGCAAGGCGTGAGCTCACTGCAGCAAGGCGTGAGCTCACTGCAGCAAGGCGTGAGCTCACTGCAGCAACGCGTGAGCTCACTGCAGCAAGGCGTGAGCTCACTGCAGCAAGGCGTGAGCTCACTGCAGCAACGCGTGAGCTCACTGCAGCAAAGCGTGAGCTCACTGCAGCAAGGCGTGAGCTCACTGCAGCAACGCGTGAGCTCACTGCAGCAACGCGTGAGCTCACTGCAGCAAGGCGTGAGCTCACTGCAGCAACGCGTGAGCTCACTGCAGCAAGGCGTGAGCTCACTGCAGCAACGCGTGAGCTCACTGCAGCAACGCGTGAGCTCACTGCAGCAAGGCGTGAGCTCACTGCAGCAATGCGTGAGCTCACTGCAGCAACGCGTGAGCTCACTGCAGCAAGGCGTGAGCTCACTGCAGCAACGCGTGAGCTCACTGCAGCAAGGCGTGAGCTCACTGCGGCAAGGCGTGAGCTCACTGCAGCAACGCGTGAGCTCACTGCAGCAACGCGTGAGCTCACTGCAGCAAGGCGTGAGCTCACTGCAGCAACGCGTGAGCTCACTGCAGCAATGCGTGAGCTCACTGCAGCAACGCGTGAGCTCACTGCAGCAACGCGTGAGCTCACTGCAGCAACGCGTGAGCTCACTGCAGCAAGGCGTGAGCTCACTGCAGCAAGGCGTGAGCTCACTGCAGCAACGCGTGAGCTCACTGCAGCAACGCGTGAGCACACGGAAGCAAGGCGTGAGCTCACTGCAGCAAGGCGTGAGCTCTCTGCAGCAAGGCGTGAGCTCACTGCAGCAACGCGTGAGCTCACTACAGCAACGCGTGAGCTCACTGCAGCAAGGCGTGAGCTCACTGCAGCAAGGCGTGAGCTCACTGCAGCAAGGCGTGAGCTCACTGCAGCAACGCGTGAGCACACGGAAGCAAGGCGTGAGCTCACTGCAGCAAGGCGTGAGCTCACTGCAGCAAGGCGTGAGCTCACTGCAGCAACGCGTGAGCTCACTGCAGCAAGGCGTGAGCTCACTGCAGCAACGCGTGAGCTCACTGCAGCAACGCGTGAGCTCACTGCAGCAAGGCGTGAGCTCACTGCAGCAAGGCGTGAGCTCACTGCAGCAAGGCGTGAGCTCACTGCAGCAAGGCGTGAGCTCACTGCAGCAAGGCGTGAGCTCACTGCAGCAACGCGTGAGCTCACTGCAGCAAGGCGTGAGCTCACTGCAGCAAGGCGTGAGCTCACTGCAGCAACGCGTGAGCTCACTGCAGCAACGCGTGAGCTCACTGCAGCAACGCGTGAGCTCACTGCAGCAAGGCTTGAGCTCACTGCAGCAACGCGTGAGCTCACTGCAGCAACGCGTGAGCTCACTGCAGCAATGCGTGAGCTCACTGCAGCAAGGCGTGAGCTCACTGCAGCAACGCATGAGGTCACTGCAGCAACGCGTGAGCTCACTGCAGCAAGGCGTGAGCTCACTGCAGCAAGGCGTGAGCTCACTGCAGCAAGGCGTGAGCTCACTGCAGCAACGCGTGAGCTCACTGCAGCAAGGCGTGAGCTCACTGCAGCAACGCGTGAGCTCACTGCAGCAACGCGTGAGCTCACTGCAGCAAGGCGCGAGCTCACTGCAGCAATGCGTGTGCGTGCGCAAGCGCAATAATTTGCAAGCGCGCTGCCACAACAAGGCAGCAGCGCACAAGCCGCCAGCGGGCTGTGCAAGCGTTAGCGCAAGCGAGTTAGGCGCCAGCGCTCATGGCGCCAAGGCGCCAGCGCTCATGGCGCCAAGGCGCCAGCGTTCATGGCGCCAAGGCGCCAGCGTTCATGGTGCCAAGGCGCCAGCGTTCATGGCGCCAAGGCGCAAGCATTTAAGGCGCCAAGGCGCCAGCGTTCATGGCGCCAAGGCGCCAGGGCTCATGGCGCCAAGGCGCTAGCGATTAAGGCGCCAAGGCGCCAACGTTTAGGCGCCAAGGCGCCAGCGTTTAAGGCGCCAAGGCGCCAGCGTTTAAGGTGCAAGGCGCTAGCGCTCATGGCGCCAAGGCGCCAGTGTTGAAGGCGCCAAGGCGCCAGCGTTTAAGGCGCCAACGCGCCAGCGACGCCAAGGCGCCAGCGCTCATGGCGCCAAGGCGCCAGCGATTAAGGCGCCAAGGCGCCAGTGATGAAGGCGCCAAGGCGCCAGCGCTCATGGCGCCAAGGCGCCAGCGCTCATGGCGCCAAGGCGCCAGCGTTCAAGGCGCCTAGGCGCCAGCGTTTAAGGTGCCAAGCGTTTAAGGCGCCAGCGTTTAAGGCGCCACAGCATCTCCACCTGTACCTGAGAGCAACATACCTCCTCATGAGCAGCAGCAGAGTCAACCTGAGCCGAACCACACATCACCACCACTCTTCACCGATGAGCCGCCTTCACTCCAACCCTCGATGGAGCAGCCCTCAACGCGAGAGTCAACACCTGAGCAGCAGCCAGCCGCAGAGAAGCTGTCCTCGACCGTAACGTCTACTTCTTCACCTCCAGTCAACACTTCAACCATCATCCCTGTCGCAGCAGACGAGTCGCTTCAACCCGTTCAACCACCAAATGATGTTCCCGAGACAACCACGCCTTCAGCACCTCCACCCATACCTGATGGTAACACAAGTCACCAAGGTATCACCGAGCATTCACAGCGTCCCAAGCGAGCACGCAAGACAGTGCAGCGCCTGAACCTCGCAGTCGGTGCATGCTTCCCAGTCACAGCCAAGTGCACCGATCCTCACTGCATGGACTGCAAGGTAGTCGCCATGTGTCACGCCATCAGTTGCCTCCCACCTGAGCCATCCACTCGCAAGCAGGCACTGGCAAGCGCTGAGAGAGCAGAGTGGGTAAAGGCAGAGAGAGATGAGATTAACAGCCTCCTTGCGCAAGGTACATGGGACTTGGCACCACTCCCTCCTGGTAAGAGAGCACTGAAGGTTAAGTGGACATACCGAGTGAAAGTAAAGGGAGATGGTACACTGGACCGATTCAAGGCACGCCTGGTAGCCATAGGTTTCTCACAGATGCCAGGCACGGACTACACAGAGACCTTCTCTGCTGTAGCCAAGTACACCACAGTCAGGTGCCTCCTGGTAATGGCCACAGTGAAGGATCTCCACATCCACCAAATGGACGTGAAGAACGCCTTTCTCTATGGTAAGCTTGACGAAGAGATCTACATGGTACAGCCTGAAGGTTACTCCGATGGTACCGCCAACGTCTGCAGGCTGCTGAAGTCCCTCTATGGACTAAAGCAAGCACCACGAGTCTGGTTTCACACCCTTGAGGTATCACTCCTCACCCAAGGTTTCACCAAGTCACAGTTCGATGCAGCACTGTACATCCTACGCACAAGTGAGGGGGAGTCCTTGTGGCTCCTAGTCTATGTGGACGACATCCTCCTTGTGTCAGCATCCTTGAGTCTCCTCACACGCATCAAAGGTATGCTCACCCAAGACTTCATCATGACAGACATGGGTGAGCCCTCACACTACCTTGGTATGAACATCGTGAGGGACCGCACCACCAAGTCACTTTTCATCTCACAGCAGAGGTACACTGAGAAGGTCCTCTCAAGGTTTGGTCTCCTTGACTGCAACCCAGTTGAGACCCCACTCCCCTCAGACTTCATGCTAAGCTCGCACGAGCAAAGCACTGACCCTTCCACCGTTGAGTCAGAGGTCACAGAGCTTGAGGGTGAGGTCGAGAGCCTTGAGCCTCCTGAGGACATCGGTCATGACACCTATGCACCACAGTCCACATCCAACATCACACCCCTTGAGTTCTCACTCTACCAGAGCCAAGTGGGCAGCCTTATGTACGCCTCCATTTGCACCCGTCCCGATCTCGCCCATACTGTTGCCATGCTCTCTCAATGCATGACATCACCCACTCGCATGCATCAGCGTGGGGCACTTCGTGCCCTGCGCTACCTCAAATCATCCTCTTCCTTTGGTCTCCTCTTTCAAGGGTTTGAGGGTGCAAGCATGCTGTATGGCTTCACGGATGCAAATTGGGCTGGGGATATCCCTACTCGCAGGTCCACTGGAGGATACATCTTCATGCTTGGAGGGGCAGCCATCTCTTGGCAGTCAAAGAAGCAGAGTTGTGTGGCTCTATCAACCACGGAGGCAGAGTACATGGCTGCGACCCAAGGAGCTCGAGAAGCAGTGTGGATAAGAGGTCTTTTGAAGGAGCTTGACCTCCCACAAGAGAGCCCTACTCCCATCTTCATCGACAACACGTCGACGATCGCTCTCACCAAGAACCCAGTCTTCCATGGGAGGACCAAGCACATCGCGACGCAGTATCACTACGTTCGAGAGCTTGTGGAGCAGAAAATGGTTGAGCCCCTGTTTTGCCGCACGAGTGAGCAAGCGGCGGATTTCCTCACCAAGGTCGTTGCACGCGACATCTTCATCAACAACCGAGTTCAAGCCGGGTTAGTCCCAGCAGTCGGATTTGAGGGTACGAGCTTGCAGTGAGGGGGAGTGTTGTGAATGGCACGCTCTTCACGTGCCACGCTACTGTGCCACTCCAGTTCCTTCCCCTCAAAACACCCTCGACACATTTACCTAAGAACCCAACCAAACCTCTCAACTCCTCCAAAGCCTATTCCAACCACTCAAGTTACAAACTTCCTTTTCCAACTCATCCTCACCAACTCAAGCCTATCAACCACCTCTTTAACTACTCCCAACCACCATAGCCTTTCCTAGTCCAACTCAACCAATATTCAAACCAACTTCCCATACTCATCTTCAAGTCCCACCATAAGGCACATGACTCCTCATGATTCTCCATGTGCTTTCCTTTCCTACTCATCAAAGTTTACCCAAGTCATCTACTTCCTCCAATTATCCTCCTCCCATGTGCCTTCAAGCACATACTTCCACTTCCTATTCATCAACCTCCACATGCCTCTCATTTATTCCTTCCTTCCTTCCTTTCCCAAGTCGACAAAGTTGCCACCTCATCCCTAAGGACCTCATGATCACTCCCTCACCTCCTCTTCCAAGTCACCAAAGCTATCCTATCTCCTCCACTCATTCCTTTCTAAGTCACCCAAGTTCTCATCCAACACTACAAGGTTACAAACTCCAACACATCAAGTGCTCAACCACCACCACATGCTCCAACACTATTCATCTCCATCAAGAAGCTCTACAACTTCTCAAGAAACTTCTTCAAGACAACAAGGATTCTCAAGCTTCTTCTTCAAGCACCTCTCCAAGTCTCCTTCAAGCTTCTCTTCTACTACAAAGGCTCCCTCTTAGCAACCAAGTTCAATGCCTCCAAAGTTGATACTCTCATGCAACTCTCTTCCAAGGCTATCATTGATGGTTACTCTCTCTATGCATGCCTATGTATCCCTCATGGATCTATAAGGCATGTACTATACCTCTTTCAATATAAGTTTATGTTCACAAAGTTATCTCCTACCTAGCCTACAAAGTAGCTATCAAGTGAAGAGTCGCTTACCTCATACTCTACTTGAGTATAAGGAAAGCTCCAAGCTACAAGCTAAAGGAAGGACCATCATCCTACCCAAGGCTTGAAGTTACTCCTAAGTAAAGCCCTCAAGTTCAAGTTCTTCTCTCAAGTTACTTCTTCAACTATCCCTAGTAAGATTCACTCAAGTAAGTGTTTATCACATCTCTTATTGTCTCAACAAGCTCACACTCTCCTTCTCTCTTAAGTTCTTATCTCATCAAGCATTCCATCTTACACAAGTTTCTCTTTATAGTCACAAGTTCGAAGTATCATCTTCTCTTCTATCAAGCTCATCCTCATATGCTACAGTTCCACTGTTCACTTTTGTCTTATTCTAGTGTGCAATCATACTCTTTTGTCCTTATCTCAATTCTTAACTGGGTTATCGAGGTGGTTTCACATGTCTGAGCTGAGCACGTGAAAATCAGCTGACTCAGCTGATGCACTACATTTCATGTGCAGTTTGCGTCAGCTCCAGAAAACGAGACGAAAGCGAAAAACGAAACGCACGTTCCCCATAATAGCTGTTATGAGTTGTAATGAAGAAGAGTGCGCAGGATTCAATAACGCGGAAGTGATAACAACTACTGACTGAATAATGAAGCCTAGCACTTATATAGCGAGAACTAGCTAGGCCGAGGTTGCGGGACCGTGAAAGGTCAGGAGCAGGTTCGGGGTTGGGAAGACCCGAAGGCGACGCGTTGATGGTTCGGCAGGCGAGGTCAGCGGACCGAGCCTGGAACTCCGAAAGTTGGGGCTGTACGCGTACAGTGTGACTCAGTAAGGAATTGGGAAAAATCCTTACACTACCCCCCCTTTTAAGAAAGGTGGTGAATATCCGGGACACGCCGGCGAGTCAAATAATCCTGCAGAATCGGGTGTCCTTGTAGCGAGTCCGCGGCAACATACGTGTCATCGTCGCTCGTGCGATCCTTCCAGCGAAGCAGGAAGACGACGTGGCGTCCCGTGGCCGTCAGATGGACTCGGTGGTTGAGGATCTTCCATGGCTCGAGTGTCGGGTCTGCCACTGGGCGGACACTTGGAGCGATACTGGGTCGGGCGATATGGGATGACCGTGGTGCGAAATGTCGCAGCAGGCTGACGTGGAATGCGTCATGAATTTTCCAATCATCCGGCAGTAATAGTTTCGCCGTGACAGG